CTGTTAGCATCTGTCAGCCAGTGGAAAAGTGGACCTAACACAGCTGGACTCTTATGTGATGTCTGAAGGCGGGATGATCAGGAGATGATTGAGGTGGAGGACAAAATAGAAATGCACATGTGCAAAAATAGTCGGATATAGTCTGAAAGCTGTCTGTGATGTTTAAATTTAAAGTAACTTATAAGCCGTATGATGACCGTCTCCAGCCACATGCGTAAAACGTGATTGGGCAGAACGTTGACGTCCATCTGTCCCTGTACTCAACATGGCGGCTTCGCCAAAACTGGCTCGCGCTGCGATCACCGTTCTGCTGATGAAAATGCATCAACTTGTTGGAAGATGTAATTACACACTAACGTGTATTTATGGGCACTTATTCTATTGCATTATGATGATGACCTGAGTGGCTCTGTGAGTATCTCAGGAGGCAGAGGTTCAGCCAATCAGAAATCTCCAGTCAAGAATCTAAAACTCGCTCTGGTGGCGGCGAGTCCCGACTTTTAAGCCCTAAAGGGAATGTGTCCCAACAAGGTCACGGATAAGAAATCCCTAAGAGGACGTCTTAGGGAAAATCTGGGCCTCTCCACCAACTGCTCTTAAAGAAGCTTCTCAGATGAGGTGGAACATCTTCAAGAAACTTGAAGTCCAGACGCTTTTCTTTCCGAGCTCCTTCAACTTCCGAAAACTGAATCCACAGTAAATGACATTTCTCGTCCTTAAAGCGCATCTCTGGAACAGCAAGGTAGCAGATTTACCTGCGGACACACTCCCTCCACCGCATCGACAACTACAACAGCTCCGTCGCACAGCCGGACGGCGGTGGAAACTTCTGAGGAGAAGTCGACGTGACCCGGAGAGTCGATCAGATTCAGTAAGTACTCCTGATCTCCTGAGACGAGGCACACAAACACAGAACGTTAGCATCAAACAACACATCAGCGTCCAGCACGGGTGAAGGACGACCACGCGGGGGCGTTTTTACAGTTAAATTCTGCAGCACAGGGTTAGTCCCGAGGTGAAGTGAACGCCGCCGAACAAAGGAGCGTTACCGTGTGAGTAGTGCAGGGAGATGGCGCTGGATTTCATGGTGATTCCACGGATCTGTTCATCCTCCCGGCTGTCCAGATACCTCAGCTGTGAAGATGCAGCAAAGAAGAAAGAGTGAGAAACCTGCTCCAACCTGCCGAAGAAACTCTGCAGCCAACAGTCACTAACCTTCCCCGCCAGTCGACTCGATATGATCCCATTACTCGCCACTAAGCAGTCCGCCAGAGTCGTTTTACCTGAAAACAGGCAGAAACTTAAAAAAGACATCCTGGCAGAAACCCTCAGGAACAGAATCAGTGTTTAACACTTTTAAATAAATTAATAATAACTCACATTTTACAGAACATCTGTAAAATGTGAGTGTTAATAAAGCTTCAAAGTCTTGAGTAGTATAGCTGTAATTAGATATATGAGAACACAGTGATGCTGCCGATGTCAGTCACTTTATACATCACGCCAAATCCTGCATCCCACAGTGTGTGTGTGTGTGTGGCTGCCACTCAGCAGCTGGCTGTAAGTAAATAAAGCGTGCCGAATATTAACTTGGTCACTAACAATTAAAGAGCTCCCCTTCTTCACACTCTACCTGCTCGGCAGTCCCGCCGAACAGCAATTCAGTTAAATCTTCGATCGAGTTTGGCTCGTTGTGCTTGTTTATCCTCCCAGAGTGACTCACGTGAGAACTGAGATAAATGATAAATAACTTTGACCCACCGTGATCAACGTGAGCCAGGATGCACAGGTTCCTGATGTTGGCTGGGTTTCTCTGCAGGGAGATGATCTTCTCCAGGCTGGTGTGTCCCATCGTGAACACCGACAACAAGCC